TCTTTCCTCCATGTAAGTAGTATCTCCATTTGTTTTAGTGACTGCATATCCTAGAAGTGGATCTAGTGTTATATATCTTTGATTTTTATTTGAAATCTTAGTGTTCTAATTTGTTTTTTTTTTTAAAGATATTCAATGGCTTAAATATTCTTCTTTTTTCCCTTTGACAAATCGTTTTCATTTCCAGCAACACCCAAGGACATACAGACACACACAACCACAATCTGATCAATGAGCTAAGCCCTCCTTCACACACAAAATCTCAGCATACAGCTAAGACCACATACACACACAAGCACACGCACAATCTCACATGCATTCCCAGAGCCCTACAGACATGTCTACTACATGTTTCAGGCAAGGGAAGGTTGACGCTACCAGCTTCAGCTTTGTTTTCTTTAGATGAGAGGGTCTCAACCTTCCTAATGCCACCACCTTTCCATACAGTTCCTCATGTGGTGGTGACCCCCAACCGTAAAGTTGTTTTCACTGCCACTTCATCACTGTCATTTTGCTACTGTTATCAATCATCATGTAAATATCTGATATGCAGGATGTACTTTCATTGTTACAAATTGAATATAATTAAAGCCTAGTGACTAATCACAAAACAATATGTAATTCTATATTGTGAAATATTTAATTCTAATTACAAATAAATGAAATTTTGTCTTGAAGCATGGTGTAGCATGGGTAATAGTCAACATAACAGTAAACTACATTGCTACACTTTGCGACAGTGTGCGTAAAAAGTCAATGTCTTGGTTCTTAAAACCATCGGAAATATGTGGTTTTCCAATGGTCTTAGGTGACCCCTGTGAAAGGGTCGTTCGACCCCCAAAGGGGTCGCGACCCACAGGTTGAGAACTGCTGTTTTAGATCAATGGTTTTAAAACGTTTCCACTTCATCTTCCCTGAAAGCGCACTCTGCTTTCCAATAAAAGTTCCAGTTTGCTCTACAGACACGATTTGTGGCATTTGTCTGTCTGTGTTCAAGAGGAAGATTCATGGCACTTCCCATGAGAAGACAGAAGAGTGTGGGCTCCGGAGGCAGTGAAGACCTGACGCCAGACCAACACATCAGCAGCTTGGCTTCAGCCTCCACTCCAGAAGCGCTCAGAGCTGGAGAAGAGAGCTTAGAAACAAGGCTCAAGCTCCTTATTCTAAGTCTACACCACTCCAAGTAGACAGTGGTCGCAGTGTATTTCTGGCTTCCTGGCCACTCTTGCTACCAAGCATCTATCACTCGGGTTGCGGGCCTGACTCCACATGGGGCTGGAGCTGAAAGCTTGACACAAGTCCCAGACCACTCACCAGGGGCAGGTAAGAAGGGTGGGGTGTGTAGGACGAAGAGGCCCCAGAGCTGAGAGTCTTTAAAAAGCTACAAACTAAGGTAACAGGAGGGCTCCTGAAGGGGGACTAAAGAACAAAGAAGGCATCCCGTGAAACTAAGACCAGGGCCAGGTCCTGGTAACACCTGAGGAAGGCAAGCACAGAGGACGAGAGATGAGCTGGGTCAGGGTTACACCAGGAATGAAGAGGACTGTCTGAATTCCCCGTCACTTTGAGCAGTGCGCTAGCTGTAAATCACCTTCTTACCCGAGATCCCTTTCTTTGCTCTCTCAAAGCAGCCTCAGCTATAAGCAAACCAGATGCCAAAAATCAGGACCCCAAGGAGAATCAGTGTCACAAGCTGTCACCATGTCCCCCCACGTTCAGCTCTATAGTTTCCATGCACACTTCTTCAGACTTCATTGCTAGCCCAACCTCATTCTGTGCCTGACAAGAATATGCCGGGGTATCAAAGGTTGACATGGGCTCAAAGATCAATCTTGTGAATCAGGGTATAAGATGAGTTACTGAAGGCGCAGTTGCTCTTGGGCTCCGTAGGCATCATTATCCCATCCTTGAACCAGGTATATTTAGAGGGATCGGAACCATCTTGCTCTGAGCAGGTCAGCACTACCCAGTTTCCACTGGTGACAGAAGAGGGGATGTTCACTGTAGGCACAAGCACAATGAGCTGCACGTTGACCTCCCCGTAGTTGTTGCCGCCATCCTCTGAGACCATACACACACATATGCACACCATGCATGCATTCCGAGTCACAGAATGGATGGTGATGTCATATGGTGAGAAGGTAACTTGGCCCTCATAGGAAGTGGTGATCTTGTTGTTATAGCAAACAAGGCTGCTGATGTCGTTTTGGACAAATTTCCACTCCACACAGGGGCTGGAGAAGCCGGAGTAGCCGCAGGTCAATCTGGCAAATTGATTCTCGGTGACTTTGACTACAGGCTCAGAAGTATATACTGAACCCCTGCTTGACGTCAGGGGGCCTCTCAGTCATGACTTCGGGAGCCAGGTCTGAGCAGAGAGAGCAGCTTAAATATTCTATATGGGTATATTTATCTAGCCATTTTCCTATTTTGTGGTTACATTGTTTTCAAATGATTTTAAACAAATAATGCAATAATAAGCATTTTGTATGTAAATCATCATACACCACAAATCTCAAGAGAGATCCCTAAAGAATACATTACTGGTCAAAAGTCATGAACTTCCTACTGAATCACACTACTGAAAATTGCTTTCCAGAAATGTCTACCAATTTGTATTCTCACGATTGCCATCAGCCCCTAATAACGCTGAGGATATGTATGCTTTTACACGTTTACTGACCTTTCACTTTTGTAAAGTGCCTGTTCCTATCTACCAACCTTTTTAATTGGATATGTTTTGCTTTATAATTTTGTAAAGATTTCATACATCTGTTCACAAATTCATTGGCCCAATCAAACATATTCCACCACTTATTATGTGCCAGGTACTGTTCTAAGTACAGCAGAAAAAAGTGCTATGAAAAGTCAAAACCAAAAGAGGTCAGAAGATGGAACTGTGTAAGCAATGCTGCCTTCTATGGATGGTCAAGCAAGGCCTGGTCTCCTGGAGAACAGGATGAAAGAAGTCATGGGGAAGAACTCTAGGCAGAAGGGGGAGTAGATTTTTCAAAATGTTAACTCTTTCCAGAATATCACTTGCCTTTTATGGTTGTCTGTCATTCCTTATACACAAAGTTTTGCTATTGGTCAAGTGAAATCTGTTAAGCTTTTCCCTATGTATGGCTTCTAGATTTTCTATAAAGGAGCCCTAGTGCTGCTGTTGGGTTGCTAACCACACGGTTGATGGTTCAAGTCCATCAGCTGCTCTGTGAGAGAAAGATGAGGCAGTCTGCTCCCATAAAGATTTACAACCTGGGAAGCTCTACAGAGGATCGTTTCAGTTCAATGGCAGTAGGGAAGGTTTTCTGCTTAAGAAGACCTTTCCTACGTCAAAGTCATGAAAGTATTTTCTCATAGATTCATTTTTAATACTTTGGTATTTTAATTTTTGACACCTTTCTTGAAGGATAAGTTAAACATTATAATATTCACTCATTTTGAGTGTTATTGTTAGTAGCCATTAAGTCAATTCTGACTCATGCTGAATATTGCCCAGTCCTGTGCCAATTTGCTTGTGCAATCTAATGCATACTCATCCCAATCCAGTTTTAGAACTCTGCTTTTATTGTTTATTTGGCTTTTAATATTAAGATATCTGAGAGTCATTTTAGTTTTAGCTGTTAGGCTAGAGACCTAAGTTGTTGGCTTTTCCTCCTCTTTCCCCATTGACTTAAACTCCCTTGTCACACGATAAACTCCCATGAGTACACGGGTTTATTTATTACTAATCTCCCCATTCGAGGGGTCACAAACAGGCAGTGTTTACATTTAATTTTTGATTTGGCCCTTGAGAACTCCACATGAAAGCTTAGGTTTGGGGCTTTTCTGGAAAAAAAATCAAAAGCCACAGCAGCAATCTTCTGGAGGCTATCGGAGGCTGTTTTCATGAGGCAGGGGATGGTCACCATTGCCAAGTTGGCCTGATGGCCTGTCCTCCATGGTATGTGCCTGCCGTGCCAGTGTAATTATTAATATAATTTTCACTTCCCCAAAGTGTTCTGACTTGCAGGATATAACTAATAATGACCTTAGTTATGAGTCAGGCTCCACCACTCCCTATTATATCACACTCAGCATCTCTTTTTCATATATTAAAAATATGTATGTATGTATGTATATGTGTATGGTATGTGTGCGCACATATGTATATATATAATATATAATATATTATATGTGTGTGTGTGTGTGTGTGTGTATATATATATAGATATATAGATATATTCCCAGGAAGATGATAGGGGAGGAAATGACTCCATCCTGCCCCAAAAGATTGGCAAAAGATAGATTGTATGGACTTGGATTGGAGAGAGCATACTATATGGTAGGTAGGAAGTAATTAGTTGCATGGACTCTAAGTAGAGTAAACAACCTATCTGGTAGGGTGTAATTAGAACAAGGTTCCTTTGACAATATAATGTCACAATTTACCAATACCTCCCCTTATTTAACTTTGCAACAACCTGTTGCCATCCCAGTATTTTCACAGCTCTGTGCTCCTTTTCTTCGTGACTTACCTTGTTTGTTATTGAATATTTATCGTGTATTGATTTGCTGTCTTTCCCTGTAGCTTGCATCCTAGGCTGTTTTAGCACCATTGTTACCCATCCCCGTGGGAACTAATAGAGGAGATTAGGGCTAGAGCCCTTATTCCTGACTTGAAGCCCGGAGATTTTTCCTGGTTAGTTGGCTGCAACTTTCACAAAAAAGAAAGAAATGGGATTTGTTTTCCACTTTTGTAGATTGCGCAAAGACACAAAACTGAGGGGCGGGAAAAACCAGCGGAGCTGGGTGCAGGCGACGCCCCTTGTCTTTCCCAACGATCCCGCCTCAAACGAGACTACATTTCCCAATAGCCTCCGCGGTATGCACGGCCGCTGCCACGTGGCTTGCGCCTCTGCCGTCGGCCCACTAGGGGCGCTGCGACGACCCCTCTGCCGCCCCGTAGAATTCTCCGCGGCCCCGGGGCCGCTTGCTTCCTGTTTGTCCGACGAGGAGACATGGCGGCGGCGCCAGCGGCGGCTGGGTCTGGGGCCGGCCGAGGGCGACGGGCGGCGGCAACGGCGGCGGCCTGGGGTGGCTGGGGCGGCCGGCCGCGGCCCGCAAACATTTTGCTACAGCTACGGCAGAGCCAGCTAACCGGCCGGGGCCTGGTCCGGGCCGTGCAGGTATGGGGCTTGCCCGGAGGGGCGGGGCGGGGCTGACCGGGCGGGAGCTGGCTGGAGGACCAGGGAAGAGGCCTTTCCTGGTTGCTGAAGGACGGACGGGACCCTCCCTGGCCAGCCGCCGCCGCCTTGCTGTGTGGACAACTCGGATGCTGTCAGCCTCGGCTGGCCAAGGACAGCGGCCAGCTAGAGGTCTCGGTTAGGGACCGACCGGGGCTGGGCTACTGTGGGCATTGATGGCGTGTACGAGCCGTGGGCCCAGTGCCTGGATCCTCCCTTCCCTGCGCCACGTCTACACGTCTAGGGCACCCTGAGCGCGTTTACTTAGTCTCTGTGAGCCTCGAGCATCTCCCCTATGAATTGGGTGGTAGTGGGATGCCAGCACTGCGGCCCCCAAACGTTCCCAAGGGGATCATATGTCATTTTCCCCGAGAGGCCTTTCTGGACACCCCCATCTTTCAAATTAGGCCCCCATTGTTATTTCATCACAGCACTGAATTCCTTTCGTTCACACTTCTTTTAGTCCGTAATTACATATTTCTTTGTTGTCTGCCTTATTCTCGCCTGTCTTCCACATCAGGTTGCCCTCCAACGGTGCAGGGACTATGTCAGTTTTGCTAGTGTAGAACGTCATGATTAAGAGTGAGCACTTGGAACCCAGGCAGGCCTGGGTTCGAAGGCTTAGCCTAATTACCCTTCTGCCCCTCAGTTTCCTCGTTTGTAAAATGCAGATAATAATTAGTAACCCACCTCTTAAGATGATTGTGAGGATCAAAGGAGGCAGTTGTGTAAAGCGTTAAGTGCATTTCTGATGCATAGTAAGGGCTGAAGTGTAATCAGCTACTATTAATGTTATACAAGGTATCTGGCTTATAATAGGTGTCCAATATATGATGAGTAGTTTTTTTTGAATGAGTGGAAGATAACTGCTTTCGTGTAAAGTAGAATGGTTAAGTCCTAGTCTCCCCACCTCCTGCCCATCACGTTGGCAGAACTTCCGTTCAACCTATTTTTAAAAATTAAATAGTCATTTTATTTGGGGCTCATACAACTCATCACAATCCGTACATACGTCATTTGTGTCCAGCACATTAGTGCATATGTTGATTTCATCATTCTCACAACACCTGCTTTCCACTTGAGCCCTTGGTGTCAGCTCATTTTCCCCCTCCCTCTCCGCTCCCCCTGAACCCTTGCTAATTTACAAATTATTATTATTTTATCATATCTTACCCCATCCAACGTCTCCCTCACCCACTTCTCCACTGTCCGTCCCCCAGGGAGGAGGCCATATGTAGACCTTGTCATCTGTTCCCCCTTTCTCCCTCACCTTCCCTCCACCCTCCCGCTATCGCCACTCTCTCCACTGGTCCTGTGGGGTTCATCTGTCCTGGGTTCACTGTATTTCCGGTTCCTATCTGTGCCAGTGCACATCCTCCAGTCCAGCCGGATTTGTAAGGTAGAATTGGGATCATGGTAGTGGGGGGAGGAAGCATTTAAGAGTTAGAGGAAAATTGCTTATTTCATTGTTGCTACACTGCACTCTGATTGCATTCAGCCTATTTTAAATACAGTTTTTGCATAAAGAAACTCTTGAATCATACACAAGACGCTAATAGAAGTGGTTGGTGGGAGTCGGGTGGAAATTGTGTGCATGAGTACTGAATGCCACAGGATAATTTTATTTTCTTAAATCAAATTTTAAATTACATAAATAGTGCTTATACAGGTCACTGAAAGACAACCACTAAAGGGGCAGGGGGTCTGGGTGTGGGTAGATTGCAAATGAGGGAGCAGTTCTGGGTGAGCAGCCGTTTCCTGGACCTCAGACAACTGCAGATGAGCAACTTTGTTTTCTCTTGCATTCCTCTCCATTTTTGCTGGAAAGACTTGCTCTGTAGTTCTTTAAGCAATTACCTTACTCAGCTGGGTAGGTGGGGACAAGCAGAAAGGGAGCGAAACCATTATTGAGCACTTAACTTCGGATCCAACATTGTGCAAGGTATATGGTGACTTCATTTAATCTTCAATCTTTTGAGTTAGGAGGTAGGATTTCGACCTCTTAACCCAAATGAGGAAACCGAGGCTCAGAGAGGTTAGGCAATTTACTCCTAAATTCTCATCTTGATAATAAGTGTTTCGAGGCAGTGAGGAGCCTTGTTCTTTAGCCTGACAAACAAGACATTTTAGAAAACTTGGTTGCCCACGAGTAGGAGTAGAGGAGTAGATTGGAGTAGAGGAGCCTGGAAACACTCACCAGATAGAAGACTAGTGGACTATTCTTGAGCCTGGCTAGTTGGTTATCATGGTAATGAGTGGTTGTTTACAGGCATGGGTGCTGTATCAAAGGTTGAGATGAAGACACCTGCCCAGAATTTAGTGAAATCAAAGTGGATACCATCTATTAACATGTCTCTTTTCTTGGTAACTTTTCCTTGATCCCTTCCTTGCAACACCCTCTCCCCTGCTGCATAGGATCAATTATTTCCTCACTCTATTTCCCAAGCACAGTAAGCTTACTTTCTATGGCCTCAATGAGGAGAAGATCGGATTTTGAAGTAAGACGGGCCTGGCTTGAATGCTGGTTCTGTCATCTTATTAGCTTGGTGACCTAGATTAAATTAAACTCTCTGAGCTTTAGTTTCTTTCTTTCTAAAATGGTAGTAATAGCATCTACCTTATAGAGTTTAGGAAGATTAAGTGGGAAAAATGTCAAAAAGCTTATGTAGTGTGTGGTATGTAGATGTTCAATAAACACCTTACCAATGCCCTAAAGATCAGCAGTTCGAACCTACCAGCTACTCTGAGAAAGTGTGGCAATCTGCTTCGTAAAGATTGGAGCCTTGGAAACTCTATGGGATAATTATATTCTGTCCTGTAGGGTCAATGTGAGTCAAAATCAACTGCTATGGGACAGAGCTAGTAATTATTAGACTGGGCTTCTTGAGACATTATTTTTTTCTTGGTGTCTGTAACTGCAGAACCAGAAAGAGTGCCATGACTTTGATATATACTTAATAAATATTTTTAATCAAGATAGTGTATCTAAGGGCTCAATCCCTTTCTGGCATTGTCCATGTTCACTCCCCACATGGTCCTGGGGTGTTAAAAGAGCTTCAGAGACAGATCGTCTGGAACTGGGTCTGGCACATACTTGGTATGTGCCTCTGGACAAGACTCTTAAGTATGCCTTAATTTCTTAGTTTGTAAAACAGGAGTAATAAAGAGGGCCAAACCTCCTAAGAGACAGCCTGGGTGGTACAAAGGGTGAAGTACTGGGCTCCTGGTACTAGCTTACACAGGTGGTCTGTTGGAATCATCCTAAAGCGCTTTGGAAGACAGCCCTGGCAGTCTGCTTCGGAAAGGTGGTAGCCATTGAAAAGCCCATGGAGTACAGTTTGCCCTGAAATGCATGGGCTTACCCGGAGTTGAAATGGACTCCACAGCAGTTAGTTGGTTCCTTGGTGGGTGAATCTCCTAAGCTTGTGAGGACCAGTGAGTCAATACCATCACTGCTCACTGCCACGGCATCAATTCCAACTCAAATGACCCTGTAGGACAGAAGAGAACTGCCCCATGGGTTTCTGAGATTCTGACTTTCAAGAGAGTAGAAAGCCTCATCTTTCTCCCTCAGAGTGGCTGGTGGTTTAAACAGCTGACCATTCTGTTAGCAGCCCAGTGCCTAACCCGTTACACCACCACGGCTCCTTGTGAGTTAGTCCAGGTAAACATTTTAAATGGTCTCTGAAATGTAATATGCATGCTAGAAAGGTTATCTAGTTTAGTTATGAATAAATGTATTCTCATGGATCCTGAATCTATCTCCCTTCAACCTCAGATTTTACCTAGCTGGTGTCTCAACATTTCTCTTTAGACATGTTATGGACCCTCAGATTTTATGTGACAAAAATCACACTCCTTACTCTCTCACCAAATTTGATGTTCCCAAGATTTCCTCCTCTTCCTAAATGGGACTTAGTGAAGCCCGCGGGGAGTACGCCACTGGCCACATGATTTATGGGAGGGCTGCCCTAGTTGGAGTTCAGTTTGCCCAATTTTCTTCCTTTTCTGTTATGGTAATAAAACATGCTGGTACAGTCCTTCAGTGTTTACAGAGCCCTTTCAGATTCTTCAGTACATTTGAGTCGTTAAGCAAATCAGTTCTTATAAATCCCTTGCTTAAAACCATGCAGTGGCATCCTGTTGCACTTAGAATCAAATCCAGATTCCTTGCCATAGACCTGCATAAGCAGTAGGAGTTAATAGATATGGGATAGATTTAGTAAACCCTAGACTCTAGGGCAGTGTCACTCATATTTCAGGTCATTCTACCAGACTTCAGAGTGATAGTCTGGTGATAAACTGGGTTGTGTGATTCCCCCTTTGTTAAACACGTCTCAAAGGCCAGTCATAATTATTGGCATATCTAAAGTCTACCTGAGTTGTATTTGCTTAATACTTTTTTCTTTAGATTAACCCCCTTTAAGAAAAAACGTCAATAGGCTTCATTCAAAACATTAATGTTTGTGAAATTTAAGGACTTAAGTCTCCCTTTGCATGTCAGAGGTCAATTGATACTGAAAAACCTGTGGATAAGATAAATTCTCACAGATTAAAAACGTGAATGCCATTAATTTAAATGGGAGGATTTTGTATTCACAACCCCCCAAATTCACTTTTAATTATAATGAGACAACATGAATTTTTATTAAAGTGCTTGCAGTTATTCCGTGGTTAACATTTATAGTCGAAATAGCAATGTAAACTTCATTATTTTCCTTTAAGATGACTGTTTACTTATAGTGTATTTTGAGACTTTAGACATCTTACACTTAGAACTTATAGACATAAGGTATACATTATGTTTATGGATCTCAGCTTTTAGTTACTTAAAAGGAAAAGCAGTAAAGACAAAATCAGTCAATGAAAATGATGACTATACCCACTTCTCTCCTGCAGGGTTAGGTTTCAGAAACTAGGTCCTTATGCAGAATTGTGTTGTG